CCTTGTTATTTTCCCCCTAACTTACAATCCTACACTTTTAAAAGCAAAATCGATAAACTGGATCTTACGTGAATGTTCCCCTAGGCTCCCCTTTGCAGTATACTATTTGTTCATGAGGATTTCCCCGTTTATTGTAATTCACATCGTGTAATAAAAAAGGGCCCCCGCAGGGGAGCTGGGAAACCCCGAAGGAAGCCAGAGCCGAGCACAATCTCTTTAACTCTTTTTTATTACACACAAGTGTGATGAACAGCAGACAATGCGAAACCCATAGTCACAGGGATCTGCTGTTTAGTGGTGAAAATCGGTAACTTAAGCCTCGTGACTTTGAGTGGCGAACCTCATAAGGCTCCGATGGGTCAGGCGTGGTATAGAATCGGGCGACAGCAAAGCTGCCTACCACCAAAGTTGGATGGCGGTGGTGGGACTCGGACCTCTGACCACAGGGTCCAAAGCATGCTGGTGACAGCGACTAAACCACTGCGCCACCATCACCTAACGGGAATTATGTGACCTAGTCTCCTGGTTAGTTTTCATACCCTCATGCCAGATCTTAGTTTGTCCGCCCTTAACCTTGTTTCAACCGCTTCCTGCCTCGGCAAACATCGCACGTCGTGCCAACCTATTTGGTGACGTGCGTAACACATCTCCAAACAATGGTAGTTTAAGGTTGACCACTTGTTCCAGTGGACGACCGCGATAACCTACAACTCGGCGCCTAACCTCAGCAATGCTCTCTTTTTTCCCTGACTCGTGTAATGCGGTATAGAAAGCGGTGTTCAAACATCGGCAGTCTATTTTCATCCTGTTCCGGCAATGACCAAGTCTCTGAACCGTAAAGCAGCACTGGCCAAACTGCTCCAACAAACACTCGATGCCGGATGTCGCGATGGTATGCCAGATAGCTCAAGTGGGCGAACGCTAACTGATCTTTCTGTATGCGTGCTGACTGCTCATCTGTGACGCAAAGGCCAGGTGAGATAAAACTGCCCAGGTAGCAAAATTTGTCTACTTCCCCAGTCACGGTAAGGTTGGAGGCTGGGATAACCCAATCTTTTAGCTGCATTTTACACACTATAAAGGTGCAAAACGCAAACTGAACGTGGCTACATTAGCACTTAAACTATCCAGAAACCCTTGCAACTTACCTGTATCTTCACTTAGCAATACAATGTATTCCGCATGCTCCATATTAGACAGGTTGTCATCGGGAAGAAAATCGATGCCGCTATCCTCAGACGAGTATTAAATCTGACAAAGTTAAATGGAACCGGAGGGAGAGTGCAGCTCTGATGAACACCACTTTCTGTAGTGAACTCCCGCGAAAAAGTACCGTAATCTCGAACTGGGCTCCGGCTGTTCGTATAAAGAGATCGCAAAATTTAACCTAACTTCTCGGGCACATCTTTAAAGTAAAGGCGGCGCCAGAGTTTAGAGCAGGCCGTCATCAGATCGAAGAAAATAAGAATAATGGATCTACTGAAGGAGTGTAGTGTTCTAAAATTTTTAGAGAGGCAAAATTGTGGACTATACAACCTCGACCAGGTATAGGGCCAACCTGATTTTCGACCGGGCGCTCTTCACGTGGGGCAGTCAATCAATGGAGTATGACAAAAGCGAAAAGCTGAGAAACGAAATTGAATAGACTAATTTTCCTGTGGTTTTCCCAACAGAATCTGGCAATATTCTTGTAAATCGGTATAGTGACCGATTCACACTCATCAGTTAGACCTTGTTACCCCTCTCATACTTTTCTCAGGAATTTCGTTAACTTTAGGACCAACGCTGAACCTCAATCCGTAAAAACCGATGGGGACGGTCTGACCGGGTAGGAGGCCTTATTAATATAGTATTGAGGGCATCCTTTTTCGGTGATTGTTCTGTGGTTGTTTACCTCACGTAGGGAGAATCTGACCAATAGCGGTTACGGCCCATGCCTACTGGTGTTGAACAGTAAGAGCGGCAGTCTTCAGTGGATCCTTGCCAACGATAGTTGATGGCAATATGGTCGATTTAAGTACATCGCTTGGACAGGTTGGCGGTTTCCATGTAAGGTGGTGTCGTTTCTTGGGAGAGAAGTTGGTAATTGATAGGAATAGTCCGTGGTCCGCGCAGAGTTGGAGTAAACGTTCTCCGTTGTCCGTCCGGTTGGCTGGGATTGCATATGTACCACCAAGAAGCCTTTCTGATTCGTCCAGGGATCCCACTTGAGCATTTAAGTCTCCAGCGACTACCACGGTGTCCGTGGCTGGAACACTTTGCAATGGTTGAGAGGTCCTTGTAGAGTTCATTCTCCATTTCTGGCGAACTGCATTCGGTCGGTAAATACACGGATACGACGAGTAGGCACTGGCACTTCATTCTATAGCTGTTCACCTGTGCTGAGCCATCCAGACATGAAGGACCCAGTCGGCTGTTAACCGGAATCCAGTCATGAAGTGAGCCATCAGCCTTAACACTTGGTACAATCCTGACACCAGCAACACCGGGGGCTTTGCATGCCGAACCGCTTGACACACGGAAAGTGAAGTGTGAGGATGAAGTCGGATCTGGAGTTCGCCAGTCAGGTCTTGTATGCTCATTTCGGAAACAGCATACATGTAAATTGAAAGTTTCAAGAGGTCTAGCCAAGGCATCTTGTTGACCAGTGTAATATTGTGCAGACATTAAATGCGGCTAAATGAGAAGAAGATTTTAGTTGCACAAATCGGTTAGCCTCGTTGATTTTACTGCATGGTATACTTCGCAGAAACCCGCTTTGATTAATGAATTTTCTCCGAAACTCTCACACCCAATTCATCACTGCCTCCAATTGCTCAGTATGTGTTATGTGTGCCTGTTCATTGTCTTGTTTTGCGCCTGTTGAACAATGGTGACACCAGTGATCGAAAACCGGAACTTGAGTACAAACGAGGGAAATCTTTTTTGAAGAAAAAAACAGCGGTTTTCCTTTTCGTCATGAATACAACTACTTGGATTCTATCGCAATAACCAATAATTTCTCTATCATTTCAATTTTGTAGATTTTGTTTGTCTTCAAGGTTGGTCATAGTGTACAGCGTAAATCCAGAGTTACATCGGGTCGCACACATCATTGGCGTTGTTATGTCGATAGCTGGAACCCCCGTTATCCGCTGTCGAATTTCGTAACGAAAGTGACCTTCAAGTTGCATGATACTTTTGATAATCCAAGACAAGGTGAGTTAAATTTTTGTTATTCTTTGGAAGATGGCCAATTCTATTTCTAAGTTTACCTTCGTCTAATTCATTTTTTTCAAAGTTGTTTTATCTTATCACTTGAATTAGATAACCTTGTTAACAATCTACTCCAATCAGAATACTACTTTGGCTCTCTGTCTACTTATGAGTAGTCATCTTGATTCTCGAACACCACACTGATGCGGATGCAGTTGAGTTATAGTTTAAAACAACGGTGCACTAAGGCACAATAATTGTTGTCATATGTAGAAGAAAGAATAAAATCAACAGTTGGGAATGGGAGTGAAAACTCGGGATTGAATATGAATACACTTTACCCGTCCAATGACTCCAGTATATCAACTGAGAAATAAAGGTGAGGATTGTATCAATGTAGATACAAAAATGCGAATATTTTCATCCGTGTTCTCCCAAACTTATTGTAAATTTGTATACAGCGCGGCTAACAATTTATTCGACGTGTAATCAAACACCGTATTGCGATGAATGGATGGTAACAGTGGCAGAATTCCTAACCACTGGGAGCTATTATTGGATTGAACGGATTGGCAACAAAGATCCCGAGGATTAAGGTGAAATAAAACAAGGATCAAATAGGATATGTTTACTTGAGATCGTCAAAGCCTCATGACTGTTCTGGTTATGTTTCAGCGTTGTTTGTGCCGCACCCTCTTGTGTTTATGAGGTCGATCTAAGTGAACGGCTCTCGTTTTAGGCTCCGGAATGGACATCCTCTTCATCAGTATAGGTGTCCATAAACCATGAAGTCCGGAGTATTCAGTCAGTCCACCGAACCTTATTATTTTCAAATTCCACTGGTTACCAAGATTCGGCTCAAGTACTCTAGGTTGTTTAAAGTTGTAATGATTAGGTGAGCTGATTTAAATTGACTATCCTTCGGGCTTCGCCTTCACACAATGCTCAGTTCATTCATTTAACCATTCACTCGTAAGCACTAGACTCTAGTTTTGCTCTTATTAGAGCTCATCAATAGTATATTTCCACCGTCCCGTTTGGGATTTGAACTCCGGACGCAATGGTTCTTTAATATCGGGCCCAAATGAATTTACTATCCCTGAAGACGACACCTGAACAAACATGAATTGAAAATTCGGCTCAGCTGTAGCATGAGCCGATCCACACACGCTTTACCTGCGATAGGTATGGGGACGGTAGATAAACTCTTCTGATGAGCTCTCATAAGAACGAAACGCGAGTCTGGTGCTTTCGAGTGCATAGTTTACCGAATGAACCGGGGATTGTGTGTGAAGGTGAAGTCCGAACGATAATTCAAATCAGTATCAATTATCTCACACAACTGATCGCAAGTAACTGTGAGTTATGCGAATTAGTTGAATTCTAGCTCACGCCTAAGTTTGAAGCGGAATTCGATATTCCAATTGCAATGTCCAGTTTACTTTTTTGTTTTCAATTTTTGTGTGTTCTATTGTATAGGATAGTCATCTGACTTAATTTAGGCCCTTGAAGTATGTGAATGCCTCCGAAAAACACATATGACCCCACTTCCTAGATAACTTTTAGTTCCCTAGAACCAATCTTAATTTCGCGTTTCGATATTCGGTTGCATAGGTTTAATTCAGGTTTCGGTGCTCATGGTGTTGTTGGTTCTGTAACCACTTAATGATTTTCCTAAGTTTCAATACCTTCTTGCTTCCGTCATACTCACGTGCTTAGTTACTGACGAATTCGGTTATCACAAGCTATTGGATGTATGCCTCCTATGTAAATACGTCACATCACGGAAATATTTCGTAAAGATTTGTTCATTATAACATCTGCATTGTAGCCAGACCCAACTGTAACCTTTTACGATTGTTCAGCGTAAATCTAGGGAATCGAATTTCCCAGTTCGTCGCTTGTCATGTTCCCGTCGCACTGTGGTAGACCATTTGCACTGAGGGGCATACAGTGACGTACACTGGATATTTATATTGACTCTGTCGATCTGGTGTTAGACCCTTCTACTGCTTTCCAGTTAGCCTGCTAACACTAAATTCGATTTCATTCAATTGCATCATTATCTGTTTGAAATATGGCCAATTGACTAATCTCTTGTAATAAATCGGACATCGATTTGCCATAGAGTTGGTTACTCCATCGTTTTCGTTGGTTATTTCAGTTTGATCTTCAATTATTGGTTGTTGTTGTTGTTGTTGGTAGTGGTGGTAGTAGTGTTATAATTCCACTAGGGGGAGGGGGGTGAGCAATAGGCTGTCTGGCTTTGTAGATCAATACACAGGCAAATCAAGCAACCACAAGAAACGAACGGAATCAATGATGTTACTGCTTAAATTTACATCAAGACAAAGGTGGTAAGATTACTCAAAAATCTGATAATTTCATGTCAAAACTAACAGATGTACACAATTTCGTGGTTGTTTCCCCAACGGTTCGCTTTTCAAGGTCCTAGAGCCCGTTTCGATTTATACAAGCGATTAAGAGGTCCCGTGACAATGGAACCCCCGATTCTACCATTTGTTCCCATGCCGCCATATTGTACAGACATGTCGCTTCTGTCACAGAAAGTTATGCCAACGTTTCACAACCGTTGTGACAATTTGATTGCTAAAACTCTATATATATGCACAAAGAATAATCAAGGTATAAAGGTATTGTATGAGATTAAATGCGAGAACGCCGTCAGGGAAACGAGTTTGGTACGGCATAAACTTGAACTGAACTAGTTTGAAATTAGAGGATTACAGGTCCACCACCACTACTTCGTCCAAATACGGAACTTGTGACACTTTTTGTTGCTCAAATATCTGATGAAAACGTTCTGTCAGAAGGTACGTTGACCACCGTTCACAATCGGTGGGCTTCGTATTATCTGCCTGATTATCAGATGATATTCCTGTCAATACTCGTAGTACACATTTGCCTGGTCGATTGGTTTCTACACTATTCACTAATCCCTATGATAGTCTCGTGATTTATGCTGTATTAACAGACTTGTAAGCAGGGACTTATACGCGTCAATCCAGACACAGACAACCACGTAAGGCCGCTGCAATGGACGGTAAAAAAAGAAGCGAAAAATACAGGAAAAAGGTGGATAAAATGATTCACTCCCATGTTTTGTGCAGTACTTCAGTAGGAATTTTCTTTTTATTAGTAAGAATGTGGGTCAAATACTGGACGGATGGTATACCTATATCACACGTTTTGGTCCACACTATGCACCAATGAACTCACGATAAAACAACCTTTATGACAAACAAATCGTTCCGTGGGTTGCACGTGACGCGATGCTGCCAAATCAGTCAGGCCAAAGCAGGTGATTTTCGAGGACAGTTCACCAACGGGTCTTCTAACTAAAGGAAGTTTAACCCACAAGGCAGCGGGGTGGTGTGTGAAAACAGCAATCCATTGGGGTCCGGTGTCTAGTCCATGCAATCATACGCCATTGGAACGGGGTCAAACATCCAAGGTATTCAGTTTTCCTCGAAACCCAGTCGAACCGGTGACCACCGCCATATCCAGGAAGGTATATGTGTGTGGTTCATATGCGTCTTGGTTGGTTTGGATACAGGGTTTTAGCCCACTCCCCTAGGTGAACTGCCTGTGGTTCACTGACCAGGTTAAATCCCCGGATATTGAAATTCTCACTTTGGTGGGGAAACATCTCTGCTAAGAGAACTCAGAGACGCTAGGTCTTATCGGAGTATTTTATGAGGGACATGGGAAGGCTCACCAGCCACAACCGGAGACCCACCCCAACCATACTGAGACTTTCGAAGGCCTGTGATCGAGGACCAGTCATTAGAGAGTGCGGGAGGGCGGAAATGGAAATCCGTACTAGTAAATGACAGTTAGAATTCAGAATTCAGTCCCGTTGGCTGTTCAGGTTTGTTTCATTTGTAATATTGGGCCATATAGAATAAAGGCTTTTATCCATTAATCCTCAATCAATTTGAAATTTATTCTCTCCCTACTTTCTCAACTAGCTAAATCTTTATGCACTAACCCTCGCATTCCGTTTCTTTCCTATCCTCAGTGGTGAGACAAGCCCCGTTCGCCATCGAAGAGGATGGTTTCGGGAATTTCCAACTCCAGATCGAGGTGACTTTTTTTGGTGGTGTCACAAACTTCTGCTACAACCTGATCCTGTTCGACCACAATGATTTACCCGAATACCATACCGTTCGAATCGACCCTCCACCAGACAACTGGGATAAAATGATACAGCTGGGTGGAGTAAGTATCGTAGTTTTGAACACGGGTTCCCTCGACAATTCTTGTTCACCAATGAACACCTCTTTCTTGAATCAGTTTCAGTTTTATGCAAACAGTAGCGATGCACTTTCATTCGCCGGTTTTGGTTGATATCCTTTGGTGCCCATTTGGATGAGAAATTAAAGGGAACATTTGAATAGTCAAATTAATGTCAGAATGAAAATAAGGAGTTTAGGAAAACTAAGGGTGCAAGGATATTGATTAAATGCACGAGCACTACTGTTGACGACTCTCAGTCGTATCACTCATTATCTTTAACCATTGATTACGCTAATCCCAATTTCCTCATCCAGGAAATCTGACGTATTTTGTATTTGTATAACTTGTGTAAGCATATATGCTTACATTTCGGTCAAAAATGTGCATTGTTCGTCACGCAGACTGAAATAATAATAATGAAAACGAAAGGTAAAGAATGCCGGTGATATGACATGTTTCATGTACAAAACTTTTGACGTAGTTCATTTGAGACCTGTTCCTTTTTGGTAAGTAATCGGGCCAATTAGGGTACCGGGGAATTTTTATAAATGTTAATCCGAGAGGGTAGCTGTTGAAATGAGGAGCGTGTGGACGGATGGGAACGACAGGATGATAGATCAGGGCGTAGTGGATGAAGAGGATCATTTAGAATCTTTTGAGCAAATTTAAAACAAAGGTTGATGTGACCATCAATGATTTCTGTGATTAATAAATCGATTGGGAGTAATGATGCACGACTGATTATCACCAAACCACGGCGAATTTTTTGAAGTCTTGCTTTAAAAGACCGGGAAACATTACAGGGGAGCAATAAAGTAGAATGGGTAAAACGCATTGATGGACAAAAGATGACAGGACTGACTGTGGGGTTCGGAATTGCCTGAGTTTGCGTAAATGAAAAGATAGGTGTCTCATACAGTTGTAGATATATGTAGACCAACGAAGATTGCTGTCGATGGTGACACCCAGGTACTTGACTGAGGTCATTCTGGATAGAGGTTTACCATTAAGGGTAACAGAGTCTGTTGTAAATGAGGAGCGGGAAAAACTGAAAATGCACTACGTACTTAGATATGTAAAGACTGAGACCAGCTTGGTCAGAAAACTGTTGGATGTGTGATAGGTTTTCAATAAAAGAATGCAATTCCGAAGGAGATGAAACTGTCTGATACAAAACAACGTCATCAGCGTACTTTTTTATGTGCACAGCGGGTGGAACCGAAAGATCACTAATAAAGGTAGAAAAAAGGATATGGAGATAGAACAGCACCTTGAAGAACACCAGAATTAATAACAAGAGGTTTTGATGTCCTCCTTCCTAATTTGGTGCACTGGACCTTCTGTCTGAAATAGTCAGCAAGCCATGAGAGCAGTTGTTTTCGAGTGCCAAAAGATGCAAGTTTGAAAAGAAGGGATGATCGGGAAACAGAATCAAACGCAGTCAAGAAAAACAACGGATAGACTTGACCGAATGGTTCAATGACTTGCTGATAAAATGCACTAAAGTAGATACGGCGTCCAATGTAGATCTGTTTGGTTCATACGCAAACTGACGTGACCTATATGAGCAAGTCTCCTGGTCAGGGTTTTCATATCCTCTTTCTAGACCTTAGTCAAACCACCTTTGACTTTTTCCCGCCCTTCACCTTCCTGGGCAAATATGGCGTGTCGTAGTAACGTATTTGGTGACAAACGCAACAAAAACACTGGTCCCTACTACCACTTGCTCCAGTGGATGACCGAGATAACCTGGAACGCTGCGTTTAGCCCTAGCATTGCTTGTCCGGTTTCCCAACCAGACTCGTGCAATGCGGCGCAGACAGCGGTGTTCGAACACCGATAATCTATTTTTAACGTGTTCTCGCAGTCGAGACGACTGCAAGGTCATAATGTAGTACCGTAAGGGGGAAGGAAGGGAAGTATAACTATACAAGGATGTCGCGCGTACGAAAACAACCGATGTTCGTACTCCATGTACCGTTCTCACGTGTGACATTGCGATCTAAGTGATAGCCCTTCCCAATATTTTAACTCCATCGGATATGTATTTGCTCCGTGAACTGTCAAGAAGCAATCTGCGGTCCGTCGTAGGCTGCTGAGCAATGTGAATGTGTGGGAAGTTGGGCGGCGTAATTCAAACACCTGACCACTCAGTCGGTGCAATGGTCTATATCCCTCGACCACCGAAAGACCAATGGTAACAATCGGATAATGCCATCATATCGAACAACACGATGGATCAGTTGCTAACCTCCTCGTTTTCGGCACTGTTGCGCACTACGTGTCTCCGAAGCCTGTACATCATATGTGACACTTTTCATGTGCCGAAAGATTTGGTTCCGAGTCCCTTTAGGTTTCCTATAGCGTCATATCGCAACTGAGCACCCTGTTCTGGATTGAACCCCAGTCATCAGTCCACTACGGACAATACTGATGTTGAGTTCTGTGGCGAACTACGTTGTTTTCTGTAGTCAAAAGGTGAGGTTTACAGGAGTTTATCCTGGCCGGTCGGTTGAACGAACTATGTTTATGCTGCTGTGTACGGTTCCTCGCCAGTGACAATTTTTACCCTGCATATCAACGTGTTCATCCGTCCCATGGTTGCTTTCAGGCTATCGCTGGTGTGCATCTATTTAAAAGTTAAAGTTTTTTGGAAATTGAACTATCCACTCAGGAGTGTGATACGCAGTTGTCGTATATCCTGCAATCTGCTATCCTAACCGGTGACCACAGCACTAACCTGGGAGGCGCAAATTACGCACAGGGACCCCCGACATTAAATGACCGGAAGTTAGAGAATTAATTGCGTGTATTGGCGATTGGTGGGTTTAAGACAGTTGACATAGTTTAAGAGTTGTTAAAATTTTCCGGCTAATCATCGGTATTGGTCCTCTGTAAACAGCCTATACTAAACGCGGTGAAAGGAACCGAATCATTGATTCACTCAGAAACACTACCGAAAACTTTAGATAAGACATTTTAAAGTGAAATTCGACTGGTTATGATGAATAGTGGATCTGTTGAGTGCTGCAGCAGATGGTTCCCTGCTAGTAGACCTCGGTCGTACATCTGAATTGAAATTTACTCAAAAGGTTGATTACTTCAGTCAAAACAAAGTTGATTGGATTTTCGGCCCTATATTGGTGAATGTGGAATCTCAGATTTGGTTGTTAGAAGTGGCGAAGTCCCTTGTTTTGATGTTGGGAAATTGGAAAATGATAGGGATTTCGATTAACTCAAATATGGTACCCAGTTTCAAATTCGTAGTCAAGGTTTTCGTGTAAAAGCTACCACCACTACTACTACTACTACTACTACTACTACTACCACTACTACTACCACCACTAGGGAGTGAACTGTTTCCGTCTATGCTATGTGGATCTCAGTATGGGGCTAAATGAAATCCGAGGTGCGTTGGAATCTTTTGTTAAGTGTTGCGATAGTAACGTGTTTTGCATATTAAAGGGAGGAGTATTGTTTCTATAGATCCATCGCTGTAGCAGATGAGAAGGGGCCCATTATTATCACTGCAAAATATGTTTTCCATATCGATTAATCAATCGATCGATTTTCCCCATCGGCTGGGACAAATTGTTTAACTGCTTTTTGTGAAGCATTTTTGTGTCAACTACCCCGGTCTCCAAATCGCAGAAGTTTTGCCATCCAAATAAATCGACCACAAGAGACTGCGCTGCAAAAATTGACGATTCCTGGAGAATGGGTTGAATGGGCCTTTCCGTTCACTCGAGAAGGAAGCTGCAAACCGATGAATGTCCTAAGTTCTTTTGTTGACCCAAATAACGCGGAGTGGCTTCCATCATAACCCTCTAAATAAACGAAGCGCCACTAATCTGCTCAACTTGCGCTCTGTTCTATCCCGGCGACACGGCAAACACATGCGCTCCAGGTCCACTATCATGACTCGTATCATCATCATTCAAATCCCACAGTCTCCACTGTATTAAACTAAATTCCACTGAATGACAGCAATATACGGTCACTCTTACGGGCACTTCTGACGTCTCAATTATCGTTAGTATTCATAAGTTATCATTCATGGAACGGTGCACGCGTGAGAACCAGGCTGGTTTTAGACCCGGTCGAGGTTGTATCGACCACATCTTCACTCTGCGCCAAATTCTGGAGCACCGGCATTCTTTTCGTGGACCCTCCATCTCTGTCTTCCTAGATCTGAAAGCGGCTTTCGACTCAGTCGACCGCTCTAAACTCTGGCGCTGCCTTTTTCTGAAAGGTGTGCCCGAGAAGTTAATTTCAATATTACGGTCGCTTTATACTAATAGCCGAAGTCGAGTCTGAGCTTACGGCACTTTTTCTCCCGAGTTCACCACGGAAAGTGGTGTTCGTCAGGGTTGCCCTCTTTCTCCTTTTCTATTTAACTTTGTTATAGATCTAATTATGGAAACAGCCCTATCCTCGCGCAGGGATAGCGGTATCGATTTACTTCCTGGTGGCAGACTGTCTGATCTAGAGTATGCAGACGACATTGTGCTACTAAGTGACGATCCAGGTAAGTTG